ACCCCCACCCCCCCCCCCCCCTCTCTCTCTCTCTCTCTCTCTCTCGCTCGCAGGCCGCTACTGCGGTATCTCACGCACCGGACCCCACAGAATGAGAGTCACGACCTAGCAACTGTCAATTCACCCGTCTTCTGCTTGGCAATAATCCCTCAAACCATGCCTCTATCCAAAATCGCCACACAGTGTCCAAAAAACAAGAACGAAAAACAAAAAAAAAACTCTCACGTCTTCTCCCGTGTCCGGGTGTTGCCCCAACAGGTCCCCTCCCCTGTACGTCGAGTCCAGGCACCTCTCCACCAAGTCCACCGTCAGCAGCTCAAGGTTGTCCTGCGCAACGTACGGAAGCGTCACGGCGGAAGACTTCTTCTCCCCTTCCTCCTCCTCGCCGCCCCCCGGCCCCTCGTCGTCTCGCGCCTCGCTACCTCCGGCGTCGTCACCGGTTACCGCACCGCTGGAGGCTTCGGGTATCAGGTAGCCTCCGTACGGCCCCACCAAGATGGAGCATCGATCGTCCAGGCTCTGGTGTGCCCGCGGACGGCGGCGCGTAAAAGAAAACAATTATACATACACACGGCACGTGAGTGACTTACACCAAAGATGAAAGGTGATGGCGGGTGGCACAAGGACACTCCTCATTAGTTCCTTGTGTAGCTGCTTCCTACTCCGTTAAGCTGCAGCCGGAGATCAAGCCTTATTTGCACCAGGTGTAGGCACCTCGCTTAAGAGCCTTGAACTATTCCTTGTGTAGCTTCTTCCTACTCCGTTAAGCTGCAGCCGGAGATCAAGCCTTACTTGCACCAGGCGCGGGCACCTCGCTTAAGAGTCTTGAACTACAAGGCTACTCCATGTCCCCACCGCTGCAGAAGGTCGAGCCTCATAGCACCATAGGATAGGTGACCTGGCGTTGTCCTTGAAAGTACCCGGTCAAGCAGCAAAAAAAGCTCTTCCATCCACCACGGGGGGGGTCGACCAATCGTCTACGGACTTGAGGAGAACAAAACAAAAGGCACGAGTCCAGCCTGTCGAGCACGCTGAGCTGTCGACGAGGCAACTATTTGTCGTACTATTTGCCGTACGTTCATAGTTAATGCCGCTGCTGCTGCCTCGCTATCATCGTGTCCTTCTCGTCGTTTCGCGACCTCCGTTGGGCTCCTCGTGCGGAGGCCGCCCGCTTTCTCTCGCACAAGTATTTTAAGAGCACAGGGGAGTAATGTTCGTGGTACTCATGCTAACGGGACGGCAACGTCCCCTTTTTGACGAGTGCAAAGAAAAAGGGCAACGCACAGGGGACACACACACGCAGACGAACACTCTTATACACAAAAGAAGACCTCTGTTGGTTGCTGTGTCCATGCCATGCCATGCCATATGCCACAAACAACACACACGGACTGACGCGAGCCATCAAATGCAAGGAGGTGTTGCTTCACCCATCATCTCTAGTACATAGTACATAGCAAGGCGCGCCTCCGGAGTGGACTCATGAGAGCATGGCCATCAAGGCGTGATGCGAGATAAAGGTAAAGCATGTGTAGGCGTGAATCAGCTGCCAGCTGCCACCGGTGACGTTTCCCAAGCTCAGACAGCTGTTCTTAAACTCAAAGAGCCCAGGGAACCTCGTCGAACCAAAACGAACATCTGTATTACAGTCCTATTACCTCCAGCCCCGGGAGACGGGCCCGCTTGGCCTCCAGAGGGTCTATCGTGGCCCTCTTGCTGGCCACCTTAGCCTTCAGCCCATCTTCCCCCAGGTAGTACTCGCTGAGGTACTCCACCCTCTCCTTCTCGCCCCTCGCTATGGCGTCCAGCTTGTCCTCCATCTACGTACGTGGCAGCAGTGGCGCGTGCCGCCGCGCATCGGCAATATAACGCACGGCAGGAGTAAAACAGAACGGCCGGTGGGGGGGCGGGAGGGGGGACATCTTGTTCTGTGTGGGGGATCATGCAGTATAGTTGTGGCGGGAAAATTTCGCCGCACAATTGTGCTCGCCATGATAGGGTACTTTCCAACTGTTACGTTAGAGACCGACCGACCAACAACGTGATACCGCTAATTATTCATGACAAAGGGCATGAACTCATGCGCAAGCTCAGGGCGGGGTTATGTTGGGAACAACACACACTCAGGCGCACCTTTGCCGTGAAGCCGGTATCGGTGAAATCCGGGAAGTGCTCCCTGAGCAGGTCCGCCACCACGAAGCCCGTAAGGCTCGGCGTCAGGCTCCGCCCCTGCAGGTTTACGTACGTCCTTGTCCGAAGGGTGCCGATGATGCTCGCGTAGGTGGAGGGCCGCCCGACCCCCTTCGCCTCGAGTTCCTTGATGAAGCTGGCCTCCGAAAACCTAGGGGGGGAGGGGGAGGGGG